AAGTTTTTATTTACAGGGGCTTTGATACTAAGTATTCTGAGGAGATATTGTATTCTTCTCAGAAATACTTTGTATCACTTTGTAATACACAGCCGGCTTCCTGCTGCACAACACAATGAGCTGAATGCTGGCTCGGTGGCTGCCACAGCAAGATGATCACACCGATCAGCTATGCAGTGATTACTGTGCTGTGACCACCTAAATTGCTGTTGAGGGTCTGCCTTTTACCCCGAGAGACCCATCAACAGCATTAACTCAATGAGTGCTGGTCCATACACGGACCAGTTCTCATTGTACAGCATGATGGGATTATTCTGTCACCGGTTGTTAAGGAACTGAAAGACCGGGGCAGAATAATCCCATTATTGGTCGAGGAGGGGTTAAGCCATGCAATAAATATTTATTTGTGCTTAAACATAATGATAGTCCTGCTTTAGGGCTTACCTGTAAAGGTACCATGATTCAGCATTGGGCATTGTCAGTGGAACAGTGCTATTTGTTTTATACATTTGCTGGGTCTAGACAAAAACATGAAGCCTGATGCCGCATTTAATAGATACATGGCTGTATTTTCGTATTTGTTTTCTCTAGCAGCTCTTATCATGCTGAATACCTTTAATTCTAGTTCACACCAGCCACATTGGATCACATTGCGGCCGCTTCACTTTGTGTTGGGGGAGGGAGGGGGCGTGGCAGTGCATTGAACTCAATGGCACTGCAGCCACGCCCTCCAGCCGCAAGCACTATTTTTTTCTGACCGGACTGGAACACAGGCATTGATGTGCCACGCGTTGCCATGTGGCCGATCGCACTGCGGCCAGAGGGCGTGGCTGCAGTGCCATTGAGTTTAATGCCCCCTCCCGCCCCAACACAATTGGGACGGAACGCACTATGGCTGGTGTGAACAAGCCCTTACAATGTTTTGAATAGTGCTGGTAATTACCAACAGTTTACAGTTCACTTATGCGCACAATATATCTGAAAGATGCACAGGTGTCATTTACATGTCAGGGACCAATGTTCAAACAAACAACGGAAGTGCATTTGTGAAAGGGTTAGATCATCTTAATACTAGAATACCAAAAAACTCTGTTTAGTTCACTAATATCAGAAGTGGTCATGTATTAATGCTTATGTGTTTTGTATGACCAGGTTCTTCATGGAGAGCAATACCTTGAAGTCTATAAGCCTATCCCAACATCAGGTGAGGATCTGGTCCTTTAGTATAAGGTATAAACAAATAAGGCTTTTTGTTGTGGTTACTTTTTCCAAACTATTTTATCACACTAATACATGCCACAAACCTAGGACTAGAGACGCACTCATGAGCCACTGTAAATTGCTGAACCACAACAATTGTTATTGATTTCAAATTGGGTCAGACAGACATTCCCTCCGGTGTCTGACGTGAATTCTCTTAACACATTTTTATCAGGTTCACCTCTAATGATTAAAGGAGAACTATGGGGTCCGTGCTTTTCCCCATAGTTCTTCTATGGGTAACAGGAGGACACAAACTACAGCTCGCGGTATACTGGGACTCCGCAGCTGGGACGGATCCCGACAATACTGTCTGGATCCACCCAGCTGTGTGAGTGACAGCTGGCTCTGCCTGTCTAGAGGCAGAGCCAGCTGTACCCGCCCCCTCCCCAGTCGGTTCCGCCAGTCAGCGCTGGAGGATCGGACAGGGGAGGGGCAGGGGGTATCCCTGCAGGGAGCCATAAGTGACAGTCACGGCTCTCTGCTGGCACAGGAACGAGAAGTGATCGAGCGACGGCTTACTTCCTGATCTATTGAGCCGACGTGTGACAGTTTCATTGTAACACATCGCCTCAAACTATGAGGCTGAGTGATTTTTCACTCGCCTCATAGTTCGCTTTTAAGTCCATTGGGGGAAATGTGTCAGAGCGCATTCTCATGTCTAATGGGGGAGAGGATGTCTGTCTGACCTAATCTGCCATCAATAAAACTTGTTGGGGTTCAGTAAAAAATACAACGGAGGTGGGCTCTTGCGGTTTAATACCTGGAGGGGAGAAGACAGATAAGAGTGCCTGTGCACCTGCAGCCAGTCGCTGCATGTACTTGTCGGAGCGATGTCATTTATACAAGTTTGCATCATTGTGAGCATATGAGGAAAAATTGCAGGAAAAAGTTACCTGCAATGAAAACTTCATGTCAAGAGTACTAGTAAAATTAGAGCTTGGGATGTATAAATTAATATGGAATCCAGTCTGTCCAACCCAGGAGCCAGCAGGTTTTTATTTTAGGAACCAGCTCCATTGACTACTAAAAGCCTCAAAATGTAGGTGCCAAGAGCATTGGTTTAAGGAGCACTGGTTACCTGGCTTCTGGGATTTGTCCATCCCCGATCTAGAAATACAGGCAGCTGATGTTCTATTCTGAACTTTTCCTGTAAAAATACAAAGTCCTGTCTTGTTGCTATGTTTTTGTTGCGGTCAATAATATTTTATTTTCACCTTTTCTAAATTAATTAGATATTAATAAATATGTCATGTTTTCTGAAGCACAGATTATGTATTTATAGGATAATTTAGAAACGAGTCGTCTCAAACAAGTTGGCGATCATTTTGTGGCCAAGACATAAGTGTATATTAATTTATTGTGCCTAGTCTGGTTGTGAAATGGTCAAGCTCTGAAACACTTTAGTTGCTGCGAGCCGATTCTCAGTGGGCACTCTGGTGAGCTTACTGTGGCTAAATGGATTTTCTCCACAAGTATCATGAGGACTTTCCAGGAGACGAAAACTGAATTCATCATTTTTTTAAGAACGTCTGTAAAATGAAAACACTGTAACTCTCCTGTGAAGAGCCCTACTTAGGAGGCTGTTGATATTTTACTGCAGTCCTGCAGCACTTTTTATGTGTTCCCCAAGTGACGTGTAAGTGTTAAATATTCAACTTGAGAACCCATCTGAGACTCGTTTATGTGATCAGTACAGTTTTGAGGTTGCACTTTAAAATGTTAAATTCATGACCTTGAAAAGGGTGGAAAGGTAACAGTCATAGCAGGTTGTTCTGACTTTTACGTCAAGCTGTTTTAATGATTAGAAAGACTCCTCTAAATGTCATTTTTGTTTAATCATAACGATTCGTTTTAGCAAGTTCTGTCAGTCCTGGTTTACAGGTAAAATTGCTTTAAATACCGTATATACTCGAGTATAAGCCGTCCCGAATATAAGCCGAGGTACCTAATTTTAGCCAAAAAAACTGGGAATATTGCCTTTTTATGGTGGATTTCAATAATGCATCTTCCATTTAGGCTGGTGTTTCATTTGACCGATTATATAAAAATAATGCAAAATGCAAGATTTTTAGTTTGGTTTAAAATATATCTGTGCGTGAAGAAATCAGGAAGCTGTCATTGCTCTTTCTGAAAATGCAATATGCCTGGCCTTTATATCTTTCTAATGGCTTAAATTCTTTAAATCGCTAGCCCAAAACAAGCATGTACATCTGTCTTCACTTGCCACATACTCATTGACTCACAGAGTATTAAATTCAGAGGAACACCATGACAGTTAGGAAACTAGTATTTTCAGTGTGAAGTGGCTCCTGTATTTACTTCTGCATGACAAGATTTTTATTAAAGAGGTCTTCTATTATGTAAAGTAATTTCCTCCTCAAAATGCAATTAATCTGTTGTTAGAGTTTAAAAATGAAGCTCTGAATTGTTGTAGAACTTGTGTTTTTTTGGTTCAGCAAAACTGACTCAGGCTTATTAAAGTAGAACTCTAGTTAAACTAAAAATACACAGTTGAAATATATATTAATCCTTTGACAGGTAAAACAGTAACCATCATTTTATTCAGCCAACTTTGTGGTTTACAGGCAGCCACAGCCAGGTTGGTGGCACATATATTTCTTGGTTCAGAAAGTCACCTCTTTCCCTCTAGCTATTTCATTGGCCAATGAATCCACATCCTCACCTCAGCTCAGTGCAGGGCGATGAAAAAAAACATTCCTGGATGTATAAAATGTTGAAAGAGTCTGAAGCTGCAGCGAAGATGAAAGAGATTGACCTCTGGAGAGGTCTATTGCAGGAGACTGCCATTAATATTTATTTTTGAGCAAATGACAGGGTCCCTTTGAAACAAGCGTATTTAGTTGTTTGCCTGGAGTACCGGCTCAGCATCAGAGAGCATTGAGAGGTTTATGCTTTATTATTAAACTGGAAAACATCACATTAATTAACTAATTATTCTGTTTTGAGTACCATGACTGATGTAGTTAGCTTAGATACTCTGCAAATCATTTAAAAACATTTCAGCTACAGTGCAAGAAGTTTCCAGACTGATTCTTCAGCCAGGTTGCAGCCTCTAATGCTTTTTAGTGAAACTGACCTGGCATAAAAAGTGCCTGCGGTAACAATACTAACGTTTTGGCACTTAAAGGAGAACTGTGAGGTGAGTGAAAATCACTCAACCTCATAGTTCGAGCCAACGCGTGACAATGAAACTGTCACACGTCTGCTCAATAGATCGGGAAGTGAACGAACACATATCGTCACTCACTCACTTCTCGATCATATCCCTGCAGAGAGCTGTGACTCCCAGTCACGGCTCCCTGCAGAGATTCCTCCCCCCCTGTGCTGATCCTCCAGCACTGACTGGAGGAACGGATGAGGGAGGGGGCAGGTACAGCTGGCTCTGCCTCCTAGATAGGCAGAGCCAGCTGTTGACAGTAATGTCGGGATCCGTCCCGTCTAAGGCGGTCTTAGTATACCGCGAGCTACAGCTAGTTTATGTCCTCCCGTGACCCTTAAGAGAACTATGGCAAAAAAAACTTACCCCATAGTTCTCTTTTAATACAGGATTCCATGCAATCCCTATGTCCATGTGGAGCATCTTGGATGTTACCATCTGAGTTCCAACAGAAGGTTTTTTTGTTCCCATGAGAGCCTTTCCTCTAAATCAGTCGAGAGGCAAGAGTCCTAGGTATAAAAATGGCTGCCTCTCATATAGGATAGAGAAAAGGCTGTGATGTGATTGGCAGGTTCCCTTGCATTTGACTTGCAGCTGATATGATTTGAGGAGTGAATATTCTTATTGCCGATAAAAGCAGAGCTGGACTGTTAGTAATGTGCAGGCTTATAAAGCACACATTTGTCTACTTGACTAAATTTAGCCAAGCCTAAAAGTGTAACTATGATTGTGTCTGCATTATTGCTGTACCACTTTGAGGCTCTAGTATAAAATAAATTTAGCCTATTTTCAGACTTTCCTTTCAAACCTGCCAAATATGTGGGATTCCTGGAGTAAAAGGCAAAATATCCTACATTAGGCAATATTACTCATATTGATTAGTGTACTTTCTCTAAACCATTTTACTTTGCCAACCAATGAGGGGCACAGGAGCAGATGTAGTATTCATAGAAGAGTGGGTTATATGCAGCTGCCTTCGGGAGGTGGATGCTGGCAAACAAAAGCAAGTTGAAGGTATGAAGGCTTTGGTAACCCTTAACCATTGCAGTGCTACCTCCCTCCCAGTATTTTGCTAGTGAGCTCGACTGGGGTAAACTTTTTTCCTGTCTTAAATTATTTGTTTTTCCTCTTCTGCACTCTTTCTGGTGGGGATTCAGGAGATTTTGCCATTGTTTTTTACCCCCTTATCCTTCTTTTCACTGGATGTCCTCTTGCTTGCACCATATCTGATCTGCCTTTATTCCTTTAGATATTCTTCTTTAATTGCTTTGTTTCTGTGGCTATTGCCCACCCCTCACCGGTATTGCTTTTGGATGTCCCACTCATCTAGAAATACTTCTACTGCTCCAGTGCTCTTGAGTGGATGATACAGCAAATTAGATTTTTGTACTTGCCATGAAATCTTTATTTGGAGGTCCAGCTCCTCTGTATTCCTGGCCCTATTTATGGCTTGCTCACAAAACTGAGGTAGCACTACTGTGGGCAGGGTTGTAAGGGGACTAGCCTTAGTGTTTTTGTTTGCTAGTGGATACCTCCAAAAGGCAGCTGCTGTCTAACTGACTCAGTTATGAGTAATACTATTACTCCTGTGTCGCACAATAGACTCAAAAAACAAAATAATAAAATGTTTTTACGGTAAGTACAAAAATGATATTTTCACATACCCTTTGCCATTCTACAGTGTGCCTGCCTACAATTTGCATACAAGCATTCTTAAAATCCCTATATTTAAAATATTTTTCTAAAAAAAGGGGTAATTTATTAGGACACGCGCTAAAACGACCTTACCTGTATATGTTTGTGTTGTGGGAAGACACTGCAGAATACTGAGGCAACCCACAAATACACAGAGAGAAGATGTCATACAGATATTTTCACTGGTTGTTACTGAACCCAGGACCCCTGAATTGAAAGATGACATTGCTAACCAGAAAGTCATCATGCTTGTTCACTATCTGTGTCTTTCTTCTCCATATAGTGTTCATATTGCTTCCTTCCTCTGTGCCTGGTGTTTAGAATATATTACTGAACTGTTTGTGAACTCTAGGCCCACTGTATGTTTTCCTGTACTAAGTAGGGACCAAGTTGTATTGCAACCTGGGTGAAAAAACGCGTTTATCTCACTTGTGAGTCTGTGAAGAGAAAATATATAACATGCCTAAGGGGCCTTTTTAAGGTGGAGTTGGGCACCGCTGGGCTAGAGCACACCCACCTTTATAGTGTCCAATATGAATTTGTCTCCAGGGTGAATTCAGTTTCTCCCACCTTACAACTGTTCGTATAAAAGCACTCCTTCCCCATCTGCAGTATTCGTTACAGGTATTACCCTTTTTACAGTGCTCAGTATTGGTTTTAGTCACAGTTGTCTAGATCAATTCTCCAACTTGCATTATAGTTCTAATTTTCCATTTTGGTTCCAGTATCTTTCCCAGATTTTCGCCTTTCCATGCAACAATAGATTCTTCTACATCCTATATTGTTCTACCTGCTCTATATTTAATCTCCATCATATACTATTTTCTCTTTCTCTCCCCTTCCCTCCCATCCCCTCTCTTGCACTCTCTCTCCCCCCTCTTGCACAGTTTACAGTCTCCCTTGTCATGTAGTCTTTGTGGATTAGTCTTCCTCCTACATGCAGTCTCCACTATAGGTTGGCCTCCTTACTTCATTTGGACTCCAATGGAGCCATGCTCCATTTACCATGTCCAGTATGGAGCTAGTAACTGTCTATATGGCTGTCTATAAACAAATGTAAGCAACTGTACTTTTAACTATGCCACATTTATTTTTAAAATGAATTATTTTGTGAAGTATCATTTCATTTTTAAGATCAGACAGGTCCATTTTCTTTCTCATTTTGTTAATCTTTTGGAATAATTCATCTGTGTTTTAATGTGCAGTTGTTTCAGTCATGGCTAATAACCAGTCTTATCTACTGTATAAATACAGGTTGGTGACAGTCTCCAATCTGTTTCTGAAATAATTTCTTGCGTCCTTATGTGCTAGATTGAAATTCTTGCCAGTGAAGTTCATGGTTCACCAGACTCTTGTGAATTCATTTTATGTAGGTTTAATTATAAGGTCAAGGCTAGAAGTTGTTTTAATTACTCTATGAAGAAGAAGGATTGCAGTGATTAATCAGCTGTTCATTGTGAATCTCGGCAGCCTCGGCCCAAATTGAGATAGTCTGCTTGTTTGTCATGAATAGCCAAGAATGAGCTACACATATATATGTGGCATGCTTTCTGGCATGTTCAATCGGGAGTGATGATGTGTTAGTGCAGTTATTAATAATGACCAATGAGAAACCACATCTTACCTGATGACATCTCTATGGTTAATATTATTTGTTGCTTTAGGTCATGTCCAGTGCTTCAGATCTTCTCACTGCCACATACTTTGGCACTTGTTTTGGAGCTGAAGTCACCACTGACATAAGATTGGAGAGCAATTTAACCTTAATGTGAATGTATACTTACACATGTCATCACGTGTTGTGTTTGCCTAAAGCAGGATATTTAGTGCCAGCTGCCACCTTGAGTCTTAGACTTGGGCACTAACAACCCAATGTAGTCATTACTTCTTTTGTAGACTTTTGAAAAACAGTGCAACCATGCAAGTAATTTATGGCCAGAGTGTTCCACAGAAGTATGAAGCATTTTGTCGGGAATAGTCTTGGAAAATTATTATTTTTTGTATGCTGCCATTGGGTACTTGAGGCATAATGGGGACCTATTTTAGTGGTAGAAATGTACATTACTGCGTGTGGCAATATGCTGTGTGCTTACGTCATACAGTAAATGGTGGATATGCATCATATATTCTCAATGACACCCCATGTATGGCCCCCTGACATAATTTTAGTTTTTTTTATGTTATCTGATTTTTCTTGTACAGCAGGCATCTTCAGTTCTGATGATTTTCTGTACACTGCCAGCTAGAGATTTTAGTCAGGATTTAACATGCAGTTTGTTTGCACGCTCACCGTAGAGGACAAATAGGGCTAGTGCTTTCTGGGTAGTATAACATGATTTGCACATTCTTTTGCATTCTGATTTAATTTTTTAATCTTTATTTTTCCTTGCAGGAGAGATGCACTCAGAGGGTACAGTGGCAGATATTCTTGATAAAGGTTCTGGTGCTCTTATTTTGCTAGATGGTAAGTGTGCTGTCTGTTTTAGGCTTAGCTGACTGTTGATTGCTGGCTCTCTGCTAGTAATGGAAATGGTTAATGACACCTCCGCTGTACTCAGAAAGCAAATTGCACTTTTCACTTATTGGAGACTTGTTAGTTTTATTAGAGTACAGTTCCCCATACAGTATGCTTTCACATTGCCTCCTTAATACAAAACTCTGTCAAAAGCATTTCACACCAAAGCAATTTGCAGCTAGAATAACTAGAGGAGTAGAAACTATTCACATTTCTGATCGAAGTGAAGGTCGTTTCAGGCGGAAAAGAGAGCAGTGCCAAGAATTTCTAATCAAGCAGAGAGGCAGAGGGAGCTGAGGCTGCACCCACATTATCTTTATGTAATGTGTACATCAGACATCTTTTATTGTGTCATTTCTAATACATTCCTAAATGTGGCAGGATGCAACCATGAATTTCAGAGTCATTTTAAATGATCCACTGCATGTTCAAAGTTACATGCCCTAATAATATAATTTGAGAGGCTCTGAATGGAGATTTTCTGTCACCATAGTTCTGCTTGGTATGGATATGTGAGTTGCAGTGAGAACTCCAGCTTAACAGTTAAATACACAGATGAAATACAGTTGTGTGAAAAAGTGTTGGCCCCCTTCCTGATTTTTCATTGTTTTGCACGTTTGTCACACTTAAATGTTTCAGATCATCAAACAAATTTAAATATTAGTCAAAGATAACACAAGTAAACACAACATGCAGTTTTTAAAGGAAGGTTTTTATTAAGGGAAAACAAAATCCAAACCCAAATGACCCTGTGTGAAAAAGTGTTTGCCCCCCTGTTAAACCATCTTAATTAACTCTGGTTTATCACACTTGAGTTCAATTTCTCTAGCCACACCTGTTCGCAATCAAGAAATCACTTAAATAAGACTTGACTGACAAAGTGAAGTAGACCAAAAGATCCTCATAAGCTACACATAATGCCGAGATCCAAAGAAATCCAGGAACAAATGAGAAAGAAAGTAATTGAGATCTATCAGTCTGGAAAAGGTTATAAAGCCATTTCTAAAGCTTTGGTGAGAGCCATTATCCACAAATGAGAGCCATTATCCACAATGGCGAAAACATGGAACAGTGGTGATCCTTCCCAGGAGTGGGCGGCCAACCAAAATTACCCCAAGAGCGCAACTATTACTCATCCAAGAGGTCACAAAAGACCCCACAATAACATCCAAAGAACTGCAGGCCTCACTTGCCTCAGTTCAGGTCAGTGTACATGACTCCACCATAAGAAAGAGACTGGGCAAAAATGTCCTGCATGGCAGAGTTCCAAGACGAAAACCGCTGCTGAGCAAAAAGAACATAAAAGCTAGTCTCCGTTATGCCAGAAAACATCTTGATGATCCCCAAGACTTTTGGTAAAATGGACCGACGAGACAAAAGTTGAACTTTTTGGAATGTGTGTGTCCCATTACATCTGGCGTAAGAGTAACACCGCATTTCAGAAAAAGAAAATCATACCAACAGTAAAATATGGTGGTGGTAGTGTGATGGTCTGCATGATACCTAGTCAAATTCAAGTACTACTTGTGTTTTAAAAATACATTTGATGATATAAGAGTGAATAAAGAGCCACATGAATTTGTGTCTTTTATATCTCCCTAAAGTTCAGCTTTAAAATATTGCAGTTTACCAGTCCTTGGATCTGGTGGCTGCATGGGTTTTATTTTTTTAGGGTAATTTCTTAAACGCACAGGACAGAGGATCTTGTAGCCTTAACCGTGGGTTATATGCTACCTTCAAGTGTTGGAGACTGGCAAATCAAAGAGCTGCAGAGACAGCCCGGAGACAGGTTCATGTTCCATTAGGCTCTGGAGCCCTGTCCCTGAACACACCCTTGTATTGGGAGGTATTGCCCAACGGTGACGGTGAAGCCATGATGGGGTTTTGTTCCATGTGTCCTGCTCTGTCTTGGTAGGTTAGAGGCTCTCTCCTTTTAAATCTCTGGTGCCCAGTGTGCTGTTGTTCCCGTTCCCCATTGTGGGCTTTGGAGGAGTGAGGCTTGCAACACTTTTAAATAACACGTCACAGCTTTGGGAGCTGGAAGTGCTGGAATTCTAAATTTGGCGCCATCTTCGGCGCTGGAGGCAGTTGGAGTCTGTCACAAGGGGTGCCCACTGTGGGACCTTGATCTCCCGGTCCTGCTGCACTTATGCACACCATTTTTTCTCCTGGGTGTGTTTCTCCTGACTGGACACTGCTCCTGCTCCATGCTACATATCCACAACACAGCACTCTCTGGATGCTACCTGCAGTGTTTTGTACAAGGTTAGCCTTTCTTTCTCTGCAGCTTGAGGGTCATGAGTACCCTTCTGGGGGACATCTGTACACAGCACATGGCAGATCTTATATGCAAAGGCACTTGGTCAGGGGACCTCACCAGTTCACATTTTGCTACTGGCTCAGGGGGAAAGAACAGTACTCTGACCACTGCCCAAAATCATATTCTTTCCCATCTTTTGGGGTCTCCATGACTCCCTCAGGTACACACCCCTCTTCCTACCTTTGCAGAGGGGAATTTTCTTCCACCATGTCTGATTTAGTTAGTATGATTTCCACCCTTTTAGAGATTGTGGACTCCAGGGGGTCACACGCGTGCCCCTTCAACCTCTCCTCTGGATCACTTAGTATCACTTTCCTCTCACAGCCACTACACTGCTGCAGGAAGAGGAGGATGAGTATGAAGCTCTCTGCAGATTTCTCCCCGTAACTTAAGAATATCATTGCTACCTGGTACTCTTCCCTGTGCCTTATGTTACTGTGTGGTCATGCTAGATGACCTGCTTCCCCAGTTTTCTAGGATGAGCCTCCTTTCCATTCGTATGCACTGGATTCTTTAGCTCATGTTTGCAGTAGAGTTCCCATGCAAGAAGCATCCTGATAGAAAGCCCTTTGAAATGGAACACATTTTTGGCAATTCCTTGGATACATAGATCATGAAAATCATATGAGTAAGAGTGCTCTTCGCCACCAGAAAATGGCCAGGGCACCCTCAAGAAAATCCCCAACTTGGGAAGTACTTTTTGTCCCTCTCAGGCAGCTGGCTCCAAGTCCAAACTGAGCACTCTTCCTATGATTTTTAAGGTTCTCATGACACATGCCGGTTCTGTATACCCCCGTGGTATAGGGAACTTGGTCACTGGAGGAAGCCAGGCTTCACCTCAGCATCCTGAAACTTGGCAATTCAGCTGTCCTTTCTGCACTGGGAATCTCTGCAGCTTGGCTTACATCCACTACCAGAGGGGCACCAGAAGTTGCGCAATTCAAAGAGTAGACAAACTTATCTTGGGTCTGGCAGAGCTTCATGCTTCGGCCCTATCTGCCATGCATATCCCAAGCCAGGGACCCCTGGGCCTTCACAATGGACGCTCTGGTGAATCTTTGGGATCAGTTTAGCCTGATCTATGCCTTCCCTGCTCCAAGACTTCCCCTTTATCTGTTCTATAGAATTGAGATGGAGGGTATCCCGGTGGGATCCAGCAAGGGGCTCCCTGCTTTTCACTCCACTATTGCTAGCTGGATTAGGCAGTTTGTCATTCATTTTAAGGACAGGTCCTCTCCTTTCCTGTTAAAGCTAACTCTACTAGGTCCGTTATTGCTTCTTGGGCTTTTCAGCATTGTGTTTGTTTCCCAGATTTGCAAAACCACCATTTGGTCTTCTGTTAACACATTTAAGTTTTACCAGGTGGTGTAAGGTTCTTCTAGCTGCCCTCTGAGCTTTCTTAAGCACTTTTCTTGCCATTGTCTGCTGTGGGCCTGTTGGTGTTTGTTGTAATGCCCATTTCTGGGTTCGACTGCTTAGGGACGTCCCAGGTTTAAGACTACATGGTCCTGTGTTCTGTACTGTCATCCAAGAAAAGGATTTTAGAGGCAAGTCAAAAATCAAATTTTTCTGCTCATACTGAAAAATACCTGTTGATCTTGCCATGAATCTTGAGTCATTCAACCTCCTGTTCAGAACTGAAATATGAAAGTCTTCCCAGCCTTCTCAGCTATCTACTAGGAACTACAGGATCCCTTGTACATATGTAAAGGTAAAGAGGGGGGTGTTTGTAGTCCAAATCAGGAGCGCAGCCTAGGGTGACAATACTGGCTGACAATACTGCTCCGCCATGGATACAAGGCAGTGAGTTAGTGCTGTCACCCTAGTATAGCAAGCTTGTTACTGGCAGGATAACCAGGTGAAAATGAATAATACAAAAAAAAGGAAACTATGGTAGCCACCAAATCTGAGGAATGGTATATTACAATATATTCAATTTTTGGTTTTGGTTTGAATACACTTTAATGTAGCCAAGTCACTTATGCTTAAAGGCATTTCCACCATTAAACAACATATCAAACAAAAATACCACAATACCTTTGAGCTTTTAGCTTTGTCTGTTTTTCAATCGCCAATTAATTCTGTTTAGAAGTAGAGAATGTGGGTCTCTATTATGAAAAATAAACACTGAAGTTATGCCTGCAAAAAGTATCATACCGCTGCTGATGTTGTATCTCCATTGGCATAACAATCTGTTTTTTCTTAATCTTTCAGTAAAGACCTACTGTGGGAAGGATCTAATTTGCTACAACCAGTTCTCTGTGTTTGTGGTTGGAGCTGGTGGATTTGGTGGGAAGCGCTCATCACCCAAGGCTAAGGTATATGTGATGTATAGATGCACATTATTTACTTGGTCATGTTGGAAATAATTAAAACCAATGCCTACTTTCAGCACATGAGACAAGTACAGTATAAATTAACATCACTCAAGCTTGGAGAAAGGGTAGAGATAATGTAATTAAAAGTGTGCTGAACTGTATAATTGTAAGTAGAATCCACTGTTATTGCCTTGATTAGGTGTAAAAATGTAGCTCACCTTTTATAGATCAGGCTGGTTTGAGCTCATTTCTATAGCTGCCTATAGAGAGCAGCATGTTTCTGAGACAGATTTGGAATGATAAAAATAGAAGATCATTTTACACATGCATAGTAGATTATAGGCAGGTGACGTCACACAGAGATCAGTTAAATTGGGATAACACCTGTTTTATATTTGTTACATGTTCCCATTTTGCTTCTCCTTTTTTGTAATGTTAGGAGGGGGTGTTGAGTGGGTTAAAACTGTCTGTACTGTGCTTGCTCATTTCTTTATTATTTGTAAAACATTCTTGAACACTGCCTGTCATATCAAAGGGTTCAGTGATTAAAAGCCCGGCTTCTGCATTGTATGTTCAAAAAGTAAATGAGAGAAACACAGTCCACAAATTTCAGTCCTAAGGGCTAGTTCACACCAGATGCAGTTGTGATGCAGTCCGTATATTTTTTTTAATATATATATATATATGTATATATGTATATATATATATATATATATATATATATATGTATGTGTGTATTTTTTTAAAATTATGCTGTGTGAATGGGCACACATAACAAACATATAGCATATAGAGGGGGGTTTCCTCAAATGTGAGTTTGGCAATACACTTTGTAAATTGCTGCGTGCTTTCAGCAACATGAGTCATGCATATGTTTAGCAATTACAGCTAAAATTGGTGTAAATAAAAAGCTAAATACAATAAAAAAAAGTGTTGAAATAAAACCCGGTAACCCAGAAGGATACCCCTGCACTCTATGTAATAGCATAAAAAGCACCCGCTCGCACTTCTCTCAAGTGAAATTCAATTTGGAAAGCCGCAATGATAACATCTTTTTGTTGAAAAGCTCAATATTTTAACTTTTTTTTTTCTCTCCTTCTCTCTCTGAAGTTCCCACACTTTCCTAAAGTTTTGGCTGGAGTTGGGCTTTAAGCCCTCACTATAATTCTCAACCTTATGCTAACCCTTTACCCACTACTTAAAAAACAGACACTTAAAGCCTAACTCCAGGGGGAAAAAATGACCCTTACAGTGGGGCTTAAACTGCTCACTTTTGCCTAAGGGTAATATGTAAAGGACCTTTTCTTACCTGATTCCCCTCTCCCTTGGCTCTTGCAACCTTCCCACCCACAGTTGGTGGCCTGCTGACATCATCACATCTAATGCTAGGCCCTTAGTCCAGCATTATACACGAGGATGCTGAGGGAACAGTCCATAAACTGGAGCAGAGGGGAAAGACTGCTGGGGGAGCAGAGATTGGGTAAGTAAAAGTCCTTTACACAATGCCCTTAGACATAAATGAGCAGTTAACCCTTGCAGTGGGGCCCTGGAGATAACTTTAGCCTGACATGATCCAGTTCTTAAAATCTGAGCTGATGCTCCTTTTTGAGGCGTATGTAGAAGATGTAGGTGTTTTTAGATATTGAAGATCTGTTGTAAACTTTGGGGTGGTTAATACAGCTTTCCATTGTTTTTACTGTATGCAAATAGATAGTACGTTTCGTAAAATGACTCTCAACATTCTCCTTGCTATCCTAGCTAATATTTCCTGTGTAAATTCAAAATCTTCCCGGCACAAATGAATCACAGCAAGCCCTCCTCAATTGATTCCACCTGATCACACTGGGGCAGCTCCACAAGGCATGGAACCTTAACATCTATAGAATGACAACAAAGCAGAGCGCCCACTCCATGTGAAGGATCGTTTAATAACTTGCTTTTAAAAAATGGTAATGTACTCACAAGAGAAAAGTGACACAAGCATATTCAATGGTTCCCCTCACAGGAGGCTATCGCCCATCAGAAGTCACAGCGCAGCCAAGCCAGCTCATGACCGAAGTCGTCTTCCAGCAGCGAGTTGCAGGGTTAGCGCATTTCTAGGGCAAGCCCCCTTCCTCAGAACACTGACCACTCCAAGCTCAGATGGACTTTAAGCCAGACTTAGCTTTCAACCAATCAGAGATGTTTAAACATTGCTGTTCAGCCAATCAAACGGACTAAAACAGCTGCAAGATCGGCGTAAATTTTTAGCCGATACGGCACAATCTGTTAACTCATAATCAACTTGATTTCAGTATCGCATGTGTGCACAAGCATGAGTGTACAGAGAGACGCATGTACATGCATATTTATATTGGTTGGTTGAAATCTGATGACGAGCCGATGGTCTGGCTTAAAGTCCGTCTGAGCTTGGAGCGGTCAGGGTTCTGAGGAAGGAGGCGTGCCCCAGAAACGCGTTAACCCTGCCACTCTCTGCTGGAAGACGACTTTGGTTGTGAGCTGACTTGGCTGCGCTGTGTCTTCTGATGGGCGATAGCCTCCTGTGAGGGGAATACGCTTGTGTCACATTTCTCTTGCAAGTGCATTATCATTTTTTAAAAGCAAATTAATAAACGATCCTTCACATGGAGTGGACATTCTCCTTTTTTGTCATTCTACTCATATTTCCTGTGTGCTGAAGCTGTTGTGAGCTGTTTATTACTTGCTTTCTTCACATTGGTCACAATTACTTTTTTTTTTCTTTACCTGGGCCAGTAGAAAAAATGATAGTTTTAGTCAAATGGGAAACTAGAGATTGTGTCATTGTATCCAGACAAGCTGTGCTAGAATTGTCTTTACATTCAAAAGACTAATATCCTGGCTGAGTTTTCACAGCTGCTATCTAGGGATTGCTATAGAGCTGTGACAAGAGAGGGAGCAATAAGGACAGCCTCTATATACAGGTACTATTAGATGGAGAGCAGGAGGAATGGCATGCTTTAATCTTGGCCCATTCACACTTTTCTGTTTTTGTCAGTTGCGTTTGCCAATGAAATCAATGGACACGCATCAGAAACAATGTCAGCGTGTATTTGTAATTCAATGTGCCTTTTGACATGTGTCGATGTATGATGCAAAGCACATTGCAGTGCATGTTTTGATTTGTTTCCATTAATTTTAAAACAGACAAGTGTGACTGGACCCTTTAGGTTTTGCATTCTGCTCTATTTACTTGTCATCTTGTTGAAAATAAATTCACAGAACTGGGACAGGAATGTGATTCCAGGTGGATATATCTGCAGATTAAAGTCTAGGCAGTGACTTAAAACAAATATTTCTGACGGCAGTGCATCATGCTGATATAAGATTTTTTCTTTCACAGGAAATAAGCTGGAAATTAAAAGCGTTGCATAGGGCCAGCAGTATCTAATTAATTTTGACTATGCACCAAATTTACATCCCATTGAAAGCTGAACAGCAATGAATGAACTAAATCATGTGCAGCACACTAGAGAGCCTTGCTACTGTTCATTAAAAAACAATGCAACACGTACTTTGTTCCTAAATTGTCATCCTTTATTTTGAGTAGTTAATACAGTTCTGGTAATATAGTGCCCTGCGCATAGTAAATGGATGTGCAGAGTACAATTGGGCTTCTCTTCATGAATACATGGCTTGCCAGCCAATAGTAGCACTGTGATGCCAACCTTCTATTAAAGGATCAGTGTGCATAATTTTTTACCCACTCTGGTTGTATGACAGAGATTCATTATGAGTTACAGAAAGTGCCAGGCTTATATAAAAGTAAAGGGTATACGATATAAAATGTTATATAGCCTCACATAGGTCATCTGTTTGTATTGGGTAAAATACATACAGATGACCAAAGCAGTCAAAGTAGCAGCTATATTGATAGTTCAGAGCTGCATCTGCAGCTGGCCTTTAGTAAGATGGGTGTTCTGCTCTTATGTAGCCAAACACAGAGACCCTTGTAGTGCCAATTTACATTTCCTCAGTGGACTAAGATCTGAGTGTTACGCTGTAATACACCTGCACTTGCTTCCATTGAAACACAGGAGTTTAAGAACCTTAACAAACTTATCAAATTTACACATTTTGACAACACGTGGAATATGTGTTCAGTTTTTATTACCTATTTTGTTCCCTTATTGATTGGGATTGCATAGGATCTTGAAGTTTTCATGGTTCCAATTGGAGAATATAAAAATGTGTTTCTTTGCATAGCTCTGTAGAAATATGTGTGTACTTACATTATTCTTAAATAAGAACAGTCTGTGTTGCTTCATAGCAGCCTATCCTGGAAGTGTTTGCAGAGCTAGTTTAACTTTTGAGTTAATACTTTGATAAATAATGTGCATGCAATGCTTTTCTATGTAAGCATTCTGGTAGGTGACTGTTCCTATTTCTTTATAGCCTCAACTATTTGACTGTTTTTACTCATTAAGTGTTCTTAAAGTGGAAGTAAAGCAAGATTGCAAAAAGGGGCCCAGTTTTTAGCCATAGTTTGGATAATGCCATAGTGATCCCCCAGCACTGTGTGTTGGCACTCCCATCTTCGCTTCGGTCTTCTTCTAGGTTTCTAGTCTGTCTGCTTGATTGGCCGCGCCACAGTGTAACGCCTGTGCCCATTACTTCATCACGGCATTCCACGTCTGTGCACTAAGCTGCGCATTCACGGCTCAGTGTATATGAAACACAATTGCTGACAGCCAGTTAGAAGCTTTTATGGTAGAAGGGACATGCACAGTCTCTTCTCTTCTAGAAAGCCTGCCGATCATCATTTTTTTTTTCACTTCCAGCTTAAATGAGGCCTTACTCTATTCACATAAGAAAAAGGATGAAAGGGATCAGTTACCATGTGTTACTGCAATCAGCTTGCGGTTATTGCACTTTGCACTATTTTACCAAAGACGTCCAAATGAGTCTGACTAAGGATCAAAGACACTAAATTGCAGCTGTTGCTTATAATCAGAGTTCAATTTCAAATGAAACAAACAAAA